GGTGTATTTAAGCTAATTGTTTTATGTGCTAAAAAAACCCAGAAAAGGTAGTAAAAATCATGTCCTTTCTCTTTAGCTTTTCGCTATTTGAATAATTAATGTATTGTCTTACATGATTACCTAAATTGAGCTAATCTATTTAAAAAATGTAACAACTGAAATATGCATTTACCTCTTGCCACTCCTTTTCTGCCCCTCCTCCTTTTAAGCTGTAAAATCATGTTCTGAAGCCACTAAAAGTAGTGTAACATCTGTGAAAAGATGTATTTTGTTTTTAACGCATGCACTCAGCTGCAGATCTGACTTTGAAATACTTAATTCTGAAATATCTAAAATAATCCTATGTCCCAGAGAAATGGCACTAAAGCATTCAGGACTACATCTCTCTTATGATAAGGGTAGGGTAAGAAACGGACCAGACACATCTCATCCTTTTCAGTTCTACTTTGTTACCAGCTTTCCTGTCCCCCCAGAAACAACACAGCATTTTTGCTCCACGCTTTCCCGAGGCCCACATGTACTTGGAAAGGAATTGAAAAGAGAGGATGAGAGAGTTTTAGGATGAACTGTCTCAAACAGTAGGTAAGTTAATGGGATGCGAAGTGGAAAGGCCAGGCACAGAGCTGTAACTTAAGATGAATGCATCTGGTAAGAGGAAGGCTATTTTGTAGGCTGTAAAGACATTTGTGTGTTTATACTACAAATTCCATTGCCTCATTTCTCATCCTACTTATTCTCAGTTACTGTTAACTTCTCTGGGACAAGCCATATAAGCCCTTTTACAGCCCAGAGTATGAGCACAGGATTGTTTCAGCATCCACAACATGCACAGCAATGTGATATGGAAAAGTCAGGGAGAGGCTCCTGCTTTGATTTGACCCCACTTCTTCAAGCTAGAGGTGAGGAAGGAAGAGGATTAAAGTCCAGGATGTTCACACCCATAACAAAAACCTTAGGCTTCTCTTGGGCAGCCGTGTTAATGCTTTCTCTGAGCCACTGCAGTGTCTTCAACATTTCCCCAAAAATAGAATTGGAAAAAATACAGTTTTCTTCTTGCAATATAGTCCATTTTTTGTCCTCAGCACTAAACCATCCACTTCCAACTACCAACTTCTTGCTTTGCCTGTTTAACACCTATACAATCTTAGCAGTTTATCTCAGAAACAGCAAGAAAAGACATGCCATCTCATCGCCCAGAGTGGAGACATAAGCATCCAGATGATAAACCTGCTTATTTAACATGCTCTCAAGTATCAGTGATTTACTTAATGAGGTCTCACAAAGAAGCAAATTAAACCCAAGGCTATTAGAAACAATGACTGCTTTTTAATAGGGACAGTAATTTTGCCCAGGCTGGCTGAATCCATTCACTGTCTCTGTGACTTCCCTCTGGCTGTACATTGTAGTCACACTCAAATGTACACACACGTGAGCTCCCGCTTTGTCTCTCTAAGGTCTTTTTAATAAAATTAATACTGTTGTCAACCAGTTCCTTGACTCTGCCAAGCAATTAGAATGATCCTAGCATTAATGTCTCAGGGCCATTCATACCCAGAATAGCAACTTCACCATCTATTACACTAAAAAATAAAATCCAATGGTATCCCAAAATTTGGGGAGCTATTCAGTTTTAATTTTCTTCTAATAAACATCTAAATCAAAAACAGAACTGCAGGTTAAGATGCTAAATGCTTAGTTATTGATGAAGGCACTCCCAGAATATTTTGCTAATGGCTCAGACTTGATTAATATTAAGAAAAAGATTCTATTGATTTTGCTTAAAAAACATTTTAAAAGTACTCAACATGCTGGCAGGAGAAATATATTATGAAGTGCACAGAAAAACTACCACTTAAATAAGGAAGAAAGAGAGCCAGCCAGGCAGGGACATTAGGAGATAAATGATGAAGCCCTTGTCAATCTCACTGAAGCAGCAGCAGCACTGAAGGCAGCGTCAGGGCCAGACTATGGTCGCATACTACTATGGGCTAAAGATTGCAAGTCCAAATTCAAGACAGAATATTCAGCTCAAAAAGCAGGACACGCTTTTCTACCAGGACTTCCCCGTGAACAACACTCATTAAGACGAGACAAATCTTTCAGTCCACGTCACGGATATATTTTAAATGGTAAATCACAGAGACATGCATATTTTCTGGCCAGAGCAGCATAAAATTCCTATTAACTACCGTTTGTCTCAGCTGGGCACTCAGTACTAACTCTTCTACTAGTCTCAGAAATATTGCATACACACTCTTCCTCTCACTCTAAATAGCCCTTAAAGTTGAGATATTGTGACTGTCAGTAATCAAGATCCAGGATCACAGGATATTTCGTTCTGGAAAAAACCATTTTTTTGTGGATATAGCACAATTCTTAAGTCTGATATCTCAGGGACATGCATGTTAATAAGAATAAAAAAGTTAAAAATTAGTATTTCCCTAGGTTCCCATGGGAACACAACATTTACTTCCAGATCTGGAGAGTTTCAAGATACTGGGTTAAACACTTACTAAAACGTATCTAAAAAAAGCTATTCCTAGATTTTTCAGTGGCTTCCCGGTTACTATTCATTGGGACTAATGGCTCAAGGGGCAGAGACCCATTAAAGCACAGGGGTACCTAGGAAAGAGCACGCAAGTGACAGAACCTAGCGTTGGGGAAGAGGAGAGGAATCACAGGGAAAAAAAGTCTAGCAAGAGTTGGTGAAAGTCTCTGGTCTTCCTCTTGCTACAGAGGAATCAAAGCATTGAGGGAAGTTGCATTTGTAAATTGAAAGGTATGTCCAGTCTTTAGAAATGCTATCTACACATCTTATGCAGATTCCTGAACATGTACAACTGCATTCCTCCTCTCCCTATGTACTTGGACTTGCAGCCTAAAACCAAAACTTGCTGATGTCAACAGAATGCTTTCTTTTAATTGCCATTTAATTTCTCTCGAGTGACTAGACTATGGAACAGATCCTGTCTTCTCAGGATCACAGATCTGTTAGCAATAATTACAACAGAACAGTTGCAAGCTAACCTAAAAGCTGATGAAAATACAATTTTCTTTTTGAAATTAAAAATATCAGGGGGTCTTACATGGAATAGCAAGAAAGGCATGGTGAGCATTAAACAAACAGATGAGACAAAAAATGTGCTAGACACTTATAACACTGTATACAAATGTACCCTATTAATAGAAAGATTTCTCAATTGCACTATTTTTTAAAGAAACAAATCCCTGTAGAAGAAAGAAGTAGACTAATAGAATTATATCTACTGGGCTATGTTTTTAAAAAGCAGAAAGATAAATAAAATGAGAACTCAATGTAAAAGACCTCTGGGATAACATAAATTAGGTTCTTAGAAAAATATAGATGTAGACAATAAGAGAAGCTGTGTTTCAATCAAAGTCTTTGATCATTCAAGATAAGTATACTGGAAAATGAAGTTTTCTGCTTTATTTGATTTCTGTAGGAAATAACCTCTTTCTTCTCTGTTTTTATCCAAAGTACCAAAAAACCCACCCCGAAAAAACAACTGAAATCTCCCACTGTTCTCTTACTGAACACAACTCTTTTCTCCCATCTCTGAAATCAAAGTTTCTTACAATGGTTACTTCATCCACATTGTATATTAAATATGCTGCTGCTACAGTGCTCTAATATTTCAATTTGCTTGTGATATTTTCAACATTTCCCTCAAGCTCTTTATAAGAGCATACAAAAGAAGAAAACCGTTTACTGAACAATAAGACATAAACTCTATCCTCCCTCTAAACAAAAGCTTCATTAATCTTGCATAGACTTCAGTTTCTTATTGTATAGAAAACAAAAAAGAACCCTATAGATGTCTGAAAAGGTATCCTGCAATGAGAAACTTCAGGAGATTTCATTTCTTAGATTGAAAGTAAGGTTGGAACTTGATCATTTCACATAATACCTTTTTGTAAGGTGCAGACAAAGACATCAAATGCAGCGTGTGGAGACTGAAGTCAAGTTGGGAATAAAACAGAATTTCTTATAAGCAATAGAAGTAATTAGCTATCAAGATAACTTACCGCAGAAAGTATCAAGTCCATTAACACAGAGTCATTAAATCAAATTTTCATGTCTCTCTCTGAAAGATACGCCCTAATATAAGCACAAATTCTTGCCTGTACAGCATTCAGTCACTCGGAGTAAGAGAGTCAAGTATCTCTACTCCAGAACCAAAACCAAAGGTGTAGGAGTTGTACAAAGCCACAGCAGGCCACTTGGCCAGCAGCAGCATAAAACTGTAACAGCAGCCAGTCCATTCCTCTTTGGTGACATTTCAGTGACAATTTCAGAAGCAGGGCTTTCTCTCAGATATCACTCACATGTTTAAACTACTACTCATGTTCCTCATCACAAGAAGAGGAACTCACTGCCGCAGTGCATTAAAATGGCCTCAGCAAGGGTCCTTGATGGTGGATCCCTCTGTGGCCCATACAACTAGTCAGGATCAAATCAAAGCCCAGAAGCACGTCAACCTTCTACCCAATGCACAGGAGATAACTCAAGCAATACACAGATGGCAAAAGTAAATTCCATAAGCCCTATGAAGGGCGTAACAGTTATCTATACTTCAAATTATAGATGGTCACTAATTGGGACATTGTACCAGAATAAAATATGTACACCTGTAATGATGACGGCACTCTTCAGAGCATTTGTTATCAAACAGTTATCTTCAAGGATTGTTTATACTTAAAACTATTCACTTACACTGATATTTCAGACTTCACGTAAAACATTAGCATCTACATTTATTGCATTCTGGGTAACATTTGACTGCAAGAACAATCTGCACAGGAAAAACTACAGTAAAATGGACATATCCTGAAATGGATTTCAACAAAGCAAATTGTCACACCACATTCTTGTATCCTTCAAGCCATGACAGTCTTGTCACGATGGTATTTCAGTCTGACTACCAGCTATGAAGAAAAAAAGATTTTTTTTTTTTTTTGAGCACATTTATCAAACTTTAGTTTATAATTTTTTATTGAGGAAATGGCAACAACAGCTATATTGCACCCTACAAGTTCTTTAAAAGTTTATGAAGATTTGACATCAGTGGCAGACCCATTTGCAGTGTGCAAGAAAGAAAATAAACAGATCAGGAAACAGCAAACACTGGATACTTTCAGTGCATGTTCTAACCCCAGAAAACAAAAGAACCATTTTTCCTGCACTGCAGTTTGTCACCCTCCCAGTACAGACTTGTAAATTTACAGAGGAGGCAAGACAATCCCAATCCAATCTTAAAATGTCTCAATCATTCAGTCTTTTTCCTTGACCTAACTTATCACTTATCTTCACAGCTCACAGCAGTTTCACCAGGATGCTCTGTCTTCAATTTTTTATGAGAAGGCTCTGCTGGGAGAAGAGATGTGCAATGCTGTAAGGATCGTGCAATTTCATCAATTGTCCATTTGTCTTCATAAAGGGCGTGCTCCTCTAGCGTAAATGGCCCATGTTTGGTTCGGGTCAGCTCCTGCATAGTGGCACAGGTAGAGAGTTCTACAGTACAGGAGAAAAGAGGATTTAGAAGAAGTGCATAGTCAAGTTTGATTATTTGCAAATCACTTAAAATGTATTTTTACATGTAGCCTTCTACATTATTCTGCTTTATTTGAGAAGGAAGTTCATGAAGATTCATCACTCATTCACATCTTAAATCTGAGGCAAGGAATTCCTTTGATTTCAATAGATCTCCAGTGTAGTAAAGAGTTCAAAATCTGACAGAAAGCCGTCAACAGGTTTTCCAGATTTAAATCAGAATTAAAAGAGAGGAAATAATGACATAAGATGTAAGCAGAACATTCTGTATTCACAAGTCACTTAGAAGACCATGTACTATTTTTCCACAGACTTTGAGGCCTTCGCACTTCTTGCCTTCAAGAGGGATTTTTGACATTTTTATCCTGTGCCACCTATCAGGGTAATATAAACTAAGATAAGGAAAAATAAAAAACATAAACAAATGCTCTGCTATGTTAAATAAATACCAGTAGGACAGAATTACATAATGAGGGGCTACAAAACATAAGCAACCAGAGCTGACTTGTAAGAGCAAAGGTATACTAAAATATTCTCCGCCATCCTTTCTGATGCAGAAAGATTTTTACTGCATTTTAAATTTTTGAAAAGAAACCAGCTGAACACAGACTTTATCTTGGTTTTGTCATTAAAGGACTAAACATAAACCAGTATGCTCAGAAGGCAGTAACAGAAAGAGAATCTCTGACTTGCCTAAGCACAAATAACAACATTGAAATTCATAGGGTTATCTCACATCACTTGCTTTCTTGATCTGCAAATGTATCATTTAAAAAAAAAAAAATTGAAATGGATTATCTGTTCTCCATCATGCAGTTTGATAGATGCAGAGCACAAGACAAATAACCCTGTGCAAAAGCAAAACCAATCACAGTTCAGGTAAAGGAGAAAGCAAACACTAGAAAAATCATCACAAATGTAGAAGTCTTTCCAGCAGATAGGCTTTATTATATGCATGGTAATGTTCTGTGCAATCTGTTTTCAAAATGTGATGAATAACGTTTAAAAAGACAGTATCTTTCTTCTTCTCATCCTTAATCTGAGTTAGCTTTAATATACGGAGGAGGAAAAAAAAAAAATCCCCACCTTGCCTTGTATTATCTTGCTCAGTGCTATTACTTGCTCCACTTTTATCCCCCAGCCCCCAAGGTCCTCTGGCAATTATTTAGCCTTCATTCTTCCATGTTCCCAAGAAAAATACCTTAGTATATAAAAACAAGCGACAGCACTACAATTCTGCGAAATAACACACAGGTCTGGTCACTGGAGATATACAAAATGACAAAATTTTTCCATAGACAGACACATTCATTCCTTAAACTGACATGTTTTTTTTCACACCTACCTTTGCCAATGTCACTGACCAGGCTCCTGACATAAAAGCCACCACCACATTCAACATCTGGAATGTTAATAGTGACATGGTAAATTGCCAGTGCAACGTGAAATCTACTTTACATAGAAACCATGCCCCCACATAAATGTAAAAATGCACTAAGCAAACAACCCAGTGATAAAATATTTATAGGATGCAACATCAATTATGCATCCTGTAACATATGTGCCAGTGAGATTGCTAAGCCAGACAGGAGGGAAAGCAAATACAATGGTAACTGAACTAACTCACTAGAAATTAAGTACTTGCTGTGGTATGTTAACAAATGCTTCAGTCCTATTATTTTTAAAGGTTTCAGAAGATTGTTTCGTATTTCTAATGATGAAAGGTATTTCAAGTATAGTCTAAACTGACTATCAATGCTTTTACGATACTGCACACAGGCAGCTCCTATAAAATTTTAAAATTCACCTTCAACTTTCCCTGCTCTCTCAGCCCTTGCCCTTCCCTTCCCCTCCCCCTCTGCCAGTGATCAGCTGCTAGTCACCCAACCATAAAGTAAGGGCTGAAGTAACACAGCACTGAGTTCTGTCACTCATACCTGCTCATCATATAACATCTGGTCCATCAGAGGACTATGGGTCAACTAGGTAGCTGATCAATGCAAGACATTATCTTGACCTCACAGGAGCATCAAACATTTATACCAGTCTTTTTGGTTTATTTATTAATGTGCTGCTTAATGTTTCTTCATGTATGACAGAAGGAAGGATAAGATCCTGCCTCCTCAACCGAGAAAGAGGCCTGACAGTAGCTGATACTGGTCCTTGCTGCACCCTGGGAGAGATGCCAGCAGGTCTGGGCACCTGGGTAAAAGAACGGGCAAAGTGAAGTAAGCAGGCCTGAGGAAGGAGGAGTGAGCTGGAGGTTGTGAAATCATGGCCAGATGCAAATAATCCCCCGACCAGCCTCCCAGAATTTTCACTCACAGAAAGATTACATATAATCAGCTTAACTTAAAACCAAAATACAGTGCTTCTAATGCAAAGTGAAAGTCTCTGCACATGGGCTCACACCAAAATAAGTAGCTGAGGGAAATGAAACCCATTTCACTGACTTACTCCCATTCTGAGTGTAAAGAAGCACTAGCAAGCTGGGAGCATCACTCTATGTAATAATCTTTGGCCTTTACCCAGTGTGAACAGCGGTGGCTGGAACTGCTGGAGAGAGAGGCTGTACACTCTTACTGGCCGAGCAGGCTTTGCTTCAACTGCTTCTCCCCTCTTCATCAGAGTGGATAGCCTTTCTCCATCCTTCTTCAAAGCAGAATAGCTGATCAGATAGAGCATGAAAATGTGTGTCATACGGTTGTAATAGAACAAGCTTCCCATCCTCCAGATCCTGTTAATATTGTACTACAGTAGTGTACATTTTACCCTTCTAATCCTCTCCAAGTGCTCACAAAAAACCCCCAACCTAGTAAGCGCTTCTGAAATCTCTTAGACACAGAATCATCTCATTTGCCAGGAGCTATGTAAACTGGAAAACAAGAGACGCTCTTGTATTCATCTCTTGCTGTACAGATTTAAAAGTGTTTCATCACTCAATTTGTAGTTTATGAAAACAAAGGGTTTCTAGAAGGGGTACAACACTTGCAGCTGCCTCTAACATACTGTCTCAGAAGTCTGCAGGGTGTACTGTTTCAGTGTTATACTGAGATGAGCACTGGGAACTGCTCAGGCAACTCCTGTAATTCTGCCTTGCACCTTTACTCATCTCACACCAGGGTCTTCCCTGAACAGCAATTGCCAAGTTCTGTAGCCTTGTTCAAGGGTGTTTAGGGGACCACTATAGAACAACAACAACAAAAAATTAATTTCACCGATTACATGAAACTTTATCCAAAGCCCCAACTTTGGTCTTCTCAGAAAGATGACCATAAAAAAAAATCAAAAAGATCTTGCTCAAATTAGCAGAGGGTAATTTGAGACAGGTGACATGAAGCAGAACACCTACTGAATTACTGACCTTACAGGGCTCACGCTGGAACCACAGTAACCAACCCATTGCAGATGCGAAGGAAAGCATGTTAGTTTAAATCACCATAAAAGCCATCTGTCACAAGCTAAGTGCTTGCACACTGCCAGCTACTGTGGCTCACCTGACTACAAGAAATTTGCTAAGCTACGGAAGCTCAGTCACTAATCACTCATTCATACTCTAAGTTTTCTGAAAACTAATTCAAAGTCATTTCAGGCACTTCCACACAGATGTCAGTAAGCCTCCCCTTACCCCACAACTAAAATTAAAGACTCGGAGCTTTGCTTTCTAATTGGAAGTCAGGATAGATGCCACCAAGCCCTGCAAAGCTGTTTAAGACTGCTTTGCTACTTTACATTTACCATTAAAAAAACCCCCAGAATCCAGGTTATCATTTGTGCTTGATGTTCAAATGGGCATGACCTGCAGTTGCAAATGCTAAACTTGTCTTGCCTCTATCCTCTTGCCAAAATGTGTCTTTTTATTTCTGAGAGAAATGACTTCTGTTGGCAAGTCCCGACAGCTGAACACAACTGCCAAGAGTGTCTGAATACTGTGGAACTTACAGTGGAGGAACCTGCATTATGTCCCCTGTGAACTTTTGCAGCACATTTTCAAGATCTCCTTTTGTTACCTGGTCTGCAGAAAGAAAACAGTAAGTATGTTAGCATTGATTATTCACATGGCACTAATGACATCAATCATGTTCTGCAAACAAAGAAGAGGTCCCCCTCGTCTGAGTTTAGACTGAGTGAAAAACACCAAAGAGAAGAGATAAAAACCAGAATGTAGGTAGGAGTGTGAATTATCACAAAAAGAGTGGAACAAACTGTCCGAGGTGATTAAGACAGTCTGGATGCTTTCAGAAGGGCAGAAATCCCAATATGCACAGTTTTCTTTTGCAATTTCTCTCTCTTGGGACTGCTTTTTCTTGGGAACTATGCAAAAACTACAAAATTTGTCCTAGTCTATTTTTTGTTAAAGGACCAAAAAGAATACGATGCTCATCTAACCTTGACAACTTCTCTTTAAGAGTACCTAAGTGTGGGGAAAAATACAACATATTATTAGAGAACAAAAGCATCGTGGTTTTTTTTTTTCTAGTGAAGAAAAAGACTGGATCTGGAACAACACATCAAATTTCTGTATCAAACAACTAACCTGCAAACGCACACCAGGGTATTGTTATATATTAAGTAAGGCAATTTTACTGAAGAAGCCCTGTAAAAGAAAGATAGCTGCTTTAGGCAACTTTGTCTCTTTTAAGAGTACACATACACATCTGTCCCACTTTTATTAGAAGACTATAACCCAAGTAGCTGATTGCATTGGTCCTTTGAAATACTATTCAACAGAGATGACATTCATTTGTTTAGAGAGTACAAACATAAGATCTGTAATCACAATGCACTTCAGTGCATTTCTGTCTAGGACTTGACTTGTCCTGTTTCTTGTAAGTTATATTCAATTAGTGTCACCCTGCTAAGTCAACAGCAACCTGGTACATAAACCAACCAAATTTATTTACTGAGCCTTCATCATGTTTTGTAACAGACTTACTTGCAAACCTTATAAAACAGATTTAGTTCACGCTTTAAGTAAAAAAAGAAGAGGTTTTTCTTCCACAGCAACTTTGGAAGATGGCAATGTGGTACCTCACTTTTGCAAAGCACACTTTGCAGCCTCAAGAGCAGGTGCTGTCCCTAGGCCTCAGCAGCTGTCTCAAGAAATGTCACAAACACAAGGCTACAAGGCACAAAAGTCTGTCAGGGATGCCAAGACCCCGATGTACATCAGAATACGGGGTAGGAACAACAAAATCAACTGTATAGTAAGTCTGGATCTTCTTCTGAATAGCTTCTCACATGGTTATTTCAATCTTCTGTTTGTGTTACTCTAGTTTAGTGACATATCACAACAAAACTACATGTTGGAAAGTTAGCATGACCCAGCTCTATGCCAGTGATCCTGGCAGCCTTCTTGCGAACCCCAGGTTGCTTCTGGCTAGAATTTAGTATTTAAGATCTAAGCATAAGCGTCACTTGGCAGGTCTCTTCCAATATGCACCCCATAAACCGCATTTGTGGCTAGGGCATTTAATGAGACACCTGAGTTCAGCTCCTGCTCTGATCTCATATTCCCCTGATTGAGAGATTACATCTAGCCTCTGAGGAAATTACTTATGCAATAGGCAATCTCTATCTCAGGAAAAAAAGAATTCCCCATGTGAGGAATGATATATTAAGCCATTAACAAACAAAGTTGTATGGTGTATTATCAAAGTAAATATTTACAGATGTGTTTGCTAAGATCTAGACTAAATTATATTTGTCTTCTGCGATACATCGTGGCACAAGCTGGCTAGTATTACATTCTGAAAACCTAAAACCATGTGCTGTGCTTTTTCCCCTCCCCCCCGGCCCAGCATGCACTGCCTTTGTGTTAATGGGTTGTAATGGATTCTGGCCCTCTCCTAGAGCAACACACACACTAGCGGAGCTTTCATCCAGCTCTCAGTCATAAAGAATGTGCTATTAGTCTTGCCCCAAACAAACAGTTTCACTATGTCTGAACTGTGTATTTGTCCCAGGCACCAGTTTGTACTTGCGGCTCTGCAGGGCACACAGCCCACACTGGGAACCAGCTCCCTCACCACCTTTCAGCTCCCACAGTCCTTACCACAGCACAGGTGGGGGGAATGCCGTCCTGCTGCCCAGGCCTGCTTCCCTTCAGGCCCTCAGCCCACCGGCCTCCCTCACCCAGCTGTGGGCTTGGGTTTAGTAGGTTAACAGCTTGTCTGGTCAGCAAGTTTAGGGCAGCATTTGGACTCAACCCTCCATCAAACATGAAATATAAAGGCTAATTAGCATCAAGAGTCCCAAAACTTTCCCCATTTGACTTCCCTTCTCCACTCCCTAAGAGTAATGGGTTGAGAGACATTCCTACAGGACACATCTGTCAATGCCCTTGCTACCAAGAGTTAGCCTATTCCTCCCAATAACCTCATTGCAAATACCAAACATCCTCATCTGCTACATGGTGGACCATGAGTTTTTACTAGAAGCTGGACTTAACTGCAGCCCTGTGTCCTTCCAGGGAGGGGTGTGGAGGCTGCCACCCTGTTTCACAATGATTTCAGTGAGGATTGTCAAGGTTTGGCCCATGGGACAATTGCATCCAGTCCCCAGGAATAACAACAGCCTTAGCTTAGAACAAAATGATTGCACATGCTCTGCAAGTACACTATTTAGAATACATTCAGTTCAACACTGTTTTCTAAATTTCTTCCTAAGCTGTTAGACCAACAGTGGGGTTATGTGATCTCTGCAAAGGCTATGTGTCTTCCAGTGGACTAGTCCTTACAATTCTATCAGCATCATAAAGCACCCAAAACTTCAGTCCTCCAATGCTTCTACAAACATTGAAAACGAGCCGATTAGCTTCCAGTATGAAAATTTTAAAGAACAGTTATGCTTCTGAACAGTGGTGACTGTTGATTGATTTTCCTGCTATAATCATAAAGGAAGTTAATTAAAGTTACCAAACCAAAAGGTGCCAATTGTGCCACAATCTCAAGAAGCCTCCACTGAAGGGTGATACTGTCCTGTGCTTGTTAATAAACTACACCAAAACAGAACACAAGAATCATCCATGACAGCCCAACAGAACTATAGCAGATGACCTTGACGCAATCTGGCCCAGCACAAGTTATTTGCAAACAGACAAGCAGAATGCTGAAAGGACTATTTTTTCCTGAATTATTCAGGTAATGCTATTTTAAACACCTATTTCAGCATCATCAGCAGAGACCTGCAGAAAATCCTCGTGAATTTTGTTCTCCATGTCTGGATATAGTCTGTAGGCAGCTAGGAGGAAGTGGGTTTCAGAATGCACATTCCTGTGCATAGTTACAAACACTAAAAAAAGTGGCAACAAACATTCATGATGTCAAGAAAGCATCAGTGGAATGTGAAATGCTACTTGCTTCCAAAGTCAGCACCTGACAGCCTGGGAGCAGGATGAAACCATAACCTAATTTCATGTGGAAATGCAAATTCATTGTCTGATAAGAAACAAACAAAAAACTATGAGAAGTTCAGGAGGGCTTAAACCCAAGGAGCTCTCTTCAGCATATCCTTTCATTGCAACTAACTGTAATACACAACAGTTTGCTTTCTAAACTGCTGTCTAGGGACACTTTGAGGACTAAAATGTAACTTTCTTATAGTTAATATAGATGGCAACTTTCTGCAGGCACTTTCCTCTTGACTTGACTCCACTGGACCACAAGAAGAGTTTTATATATCTTGCAAGCTGTTTTAGTCCCTTTCTCTGCACCAAGGCCCAATCCTGGATGCTGCTGGCACTGCAGGATTTAAATTCCCTAGCAGATGCTCTGCTTCTCCCAGGATCTTTCTAGGTGTCAAAGGAAAGTGGAAATTCAGCTCTGGTTTGTCTGTTCTTGGAGTACAAATCGGAACTAGGGACGGTGGGCCACCCAGAGAAGCATGCAGAAAACCAAGCTGCTTTGGAGCAGACACTGGAAAAGATGAGAAATACCTGCTTTATTAGAAGAGGAGGAAGGAAGGAAATACAAAATACACAGGTAGCATGGAAAAAAAGAATGAGTATGCATGTTCTCTCTTCTTTCTGAAGAATTCAAATCTGACTCATTTGCACCAACATGGAAAGCAGCTGAGACCAATTTCACAAGCATTTCTTTCAGCCATCAGCTTCAGCAAAATGAAACTTTGTCCAGCACCCAAAACTGCACTGTCCCAGCAATGCCAATACTGCTCTGCCCGAGACCACATGATGAACTGGATCATGCAACTGATCTCAGTTTAAAAAGATAAGGAACTAAAAAAATGGGGTATTTTTAACCCAAATCAGTTCCCCAGGCACACAGTCTAACAGAAAGCTAAACCACCATAACAGAGGAGGTGGTGCAGAGGTGGGAACTACTATAACAAGAGCTGCCAGTGAAAGAAACGTGCATGAAAACAACACACTAAATTCTGTCTGCAGTAAACAATGCAAAATAAAAAAAGCAAGACTAGTGTTTCAAGAAACAACTTTTTTTTTTAAATTAATTGACCAGGGGAGTTGAATCTAATTGTATTTCACAGTTTATATGTAAGTGAGTATCTACAGTGAATAGTACTCAGTGCAGCAGAACCACAGCATTCCACTTTGTGGGAGGTACACATAAAAACCAAGAAAGTGCTCTCCAACCACCATGAAGTTGGCAACTCTTAACACCATATGGATGCTCAGGCCTTCAGAAGCTCAGAGAGAGACTTAGAACTTCATCCTGAAGTAGAAGCAAATGATCCAGCATCTCTGAATAACATTACCTACTAAATAGTACTATTTAGAATGATCTATCAGGTTAATGTGGACAAGAAACTCACATTTGCCTGCCTCGTGCAAAAAGAAAAAATGCAAAAGAAAGGAGATTGGGGATGAGGGGTGGAATCCAGACTACCTTTTTCATCATGCTATTAAAAAAAGATACTGTACTTCATGTACCTATTACCAGGTACCACAGTGTGGGACCTCTAAGAGTTGCTAAGCAACGAGTTACTACTATTTTTTAAAAAAACCCTTTTTTCCACAGGTTGTGAAGAACTAATGGCAAATACATTTGGTGTACCCCTGATTAGTCCTGCGTTGTTTCTAAGATGCCCTTGTTATTGTGGAATGTCCACTCCAACAAAGCCACAGTCAGGATTAGTTCTGAAGCCTTAAACTCTTGCACTGTGCTCTGTGGGTCAGAAAAGTTCATTTATTTAAGTTGCTAGAACACAGACAGCGAGCAAGAGCAAGATTTGGTAGGTGAACATATGTAGAAAGTAGTTCATGCCATCCTCATTTTATGTTGAGCAGTCTGTAGTTAAAGGGGTGTCCTAGAGGGAAGATCCAAGTATTTTATTCCTCCCCTGGCCTTGAAGGGTGCTACTGAAAGAGCACTCATGGGACTACACACTGAAAAAGGAAAATTCTACTGGACACAGCATGTCATTTGTCAGCCTGTCAAAGATTTAAAATGACACAGTCCTGCCCAATTCTATTTTCTCCCTCCTAATCTAATGCCTGGTTTGTTTTTTTCCCCAACAGAAATGAACACTTGCACTGGACATAATTGCAGGAAGCTGGTCTGAATTATATGAGCACTGAAGTTGAAGATGAAATAATCTTAGTTTGATTTCACATTTAAACTTAATTCACAGAGTCCCAAACATCTCTCCCTCTTTTCTATGAGAGAGACCATTTATGCCTTCAAATTACATCAAGTACATTTATGCTTACCATAAGGTTTTTCTTCAGTCACTTTTCCTGTAGCATCTAATGTGTCAGTAGCTTTGCCCAGTAGTCCAATGGCAGTGTACTTCTGTGAAGGAAGAAGAGAGATTAGTGAGTTAGGTCTTCAAGGTTCTTTCTTTTTTCTTTTTTTTTTAATAAAGACTGCAAGTACCAAGTATTTCAAATCAGGACAGGAAGAATACTATCTGAATAGTCAATCCAGCAGCTTTGGGTAAGCAAAAGTAAAGATGAAAAGACATGGAACTAAACAAAAGTTAAATCCTGCATTACATGCACATGTAATCTCAGTTTTAGAAACCCCAGCAAGAAGCAACGTGGAATCTTAATTTTTACTATAAATACATCAATACCATAAAGAAAATAATAGGGTGGTAAAATCAAAGTCTCTGTGGGGTGTCATATGTCACTGTTGAAGCAAGGCACGTAGAGTACCTTTCACACACAATTTTTCTGTTCCTCCACAATTAAAAAAAAAAAAAAAAAGACACAAAGACCTTACTTGTGAAAGCAAAACACCCACTTCCAAGGCAAAGCATTACAACAGTTTACCTTGAAATGCAGTGATATGCAACAGCCTAAAGCTGGAGTTTTGAACATCTGGAATCTGGTAAGGACCCTGTGACCAGCAAGGAGTGGCAAGGCCACTGAGTGACATCTCTGCTCGTTATGGGTTCTCTGAATATTTCTGTTTCAGGGTTTTTCCTTACACATTTCTTCTCTAGAGAATTCTTCAATGTACATGTTTGTAGCTTGCAAGAAGGAATCAACCTGCTCCTAGGCCAGTAGCTCTTGTCCTTACTGCATTTCACCCTATGTCCTCCTCTTCCACGTTTTCACCCTAAGTACTACCAGGCTGTAGGCATACAGCAGAAACTGCTGAAGCTGACAGAAGGCTTCCCATGAACCAGCTGCCCCATGTCTTTTCACAAGGCTGCCAACACATGAAGACTCACTCTGTAACATGAGTTTGGGTCAAGTTTGGAGATACCTTCAGGTATTAAAATCTGCAGTTTGACCCGCTGCCCATCCTATTCCATTCCATTTCCCTCAGCCCTATGTTAAGTCCAGGGGCCTTCAAAGTAAAGCATTTATATAGCCTGGGAGAGAAAAATCAAGGTGTTCCACATGCCTAATTCCCAGTAAGGTTTCAATGAACTTACTCCCAACGGAGCTAACACAAATTTGAACCAAGTCGTAAAAGAATGTATATTCTAGAAGTTGGTTGACCAAATTCTACTGGAACACATCCAAAGAGGTATAAGCACTAACATTTTACTCTTGGATGCAATGCATCCTTTTTCATGTACTTGCAAAGTACAAACAAGTCAAATAATAATAGTGTAGGCATATAAATCACACCTACAAAATAGGACTACTAAGACATGTCTTGATTTTGTTCCATGTGACAACCTGCCACTTGCATGTATTTCTTCAAGCAACTGCCTCTAAATAGAAGCAGCAAGAATAGTCAGACAAAAGGCAGTGGAGTACAGACTTTATAAAAATAACTGTACTCTTTGCTTACCACATTAAGGCTACCTTTTTCCTAAATACTGCAGATGTCTGAATCCACTGACAACTCTGCAAAATTAGGCATTTTAAAATCAAATTCTTGAAGTTTACATACTTTCGGATTGCATGGAGAAGAAATGAAAGGAAGAGTAGATGAAGGCTGCTCCACAACAAATTTTTAAATAAACTTTAAAGTATATTATCTGCTTTTAGGACCACAAAATTTCCAAGACATTTAATGATCTAGTTCTTAACATTTAATAGCATAACTAGAAAGGGACACATTCAGCAACTATTCTAGAGGTTAAAAAAACCACGTGAGCAGATCTTCATAATTCTAGCATGATGAATGATCTTAGCAGTTCAGTAAAACTCTAAATCTGAAAGTTTGAGACCTCACACACCATCTGCAGATGTTTCCAAATCAAGGTACTGACACTACTTCAGTTTAAATTACTTTCTTCCTCTTAATTCTGGTTTTGGCTATCTTGCTTCAGGCTGTCTGTTACAATAACATGTTATTTTTGACCTCCCAGCAATGGAGAGATAGTATCATCTGTTTATATGTAAACACAAACTGTATGAACAATACAATCCAAATCTCGACACCTGACTTCCCCTTTCATTTCTATAAAGGGCAAAAAGCCATCCAATTTGTAAAAAAAGCATCCTTAGAAATTATTCACAAATCCCCATTCCTTACAGGAGCCTTTAAAGAGTCACAAAAGACTCAAGCCAGCAATGCAATAATCCACAAAGAAGGCTATAACAGGTGAGGAAATTAAGAATTACAGTTGGTTTATGATCAGTCTCCGGAGTGCCCTTGGGTATCTACAATTATATATCGTAATTCTTACTAGCCACTTAATAGGGTTTACTTCCCCTTTGTTAGTGTGCAGGACCTGGAGCTTGTAGAAGATAACATGAGAGTCCAGACTTAATCTATTGTTCCTCTTATTTTGTGTCAAAATTCAGCATTAACTCTCTTTATACTCTAACTCACACTGCCTTCGGAAGCACCCAATGGATTCAGAGTCATTTAGTAAGTCTTTGGTGACCTTGTCTCACCTGTGTTGGCAATCATTTATTTCTTCCAGTTTTATAAAATACATCTAGGGGCATTCTTCCTGTATTCTTAAATTACAAATCACTGCAGGAACACAGACAGCAACTGCTCACAACCACACTGCCTTCAACCCACTCAACTTGAAACAAGAAAAGCAAGGTAGTAGGTGTTGCAGGCAGGGGAAAAGCCTAGCAAGTGCAGACAGTGACAGGAAACGACCCTATAATGGCAGCTCGTCAGAGAATGCTCTGCCAATCAATAGCCCCTACATCCTTGCCTCCCACTCATCCTAAGAGACCAGGACCCAAAACATTTAAAGATTAAAAGCAGCACCTCGGCTTCCCTATGGGATTCCACAACATGCAAGTGCAGCGCATTCCCAGTGACAACTTGTAAGCGCTGCAGCATCACGCATTAATTCCAACAGCTAACGGTGGTCTGCATGGTCCCAAAGGAGAGCCTCGCAACTGTACAACAGCACAACCACCCTGACAGCATACAGACCTTTCCAAAACTATCCTGCATTAGGGAACGGCTACATCTCTCAGCTGCCTAGAAAACCATTTTCTTGATGTTATGGCGACTGAAACAAAAGGCAGCAAAGCAATTAGAAGCCCTGAAGTATAAGCAATTCTTTCATTCACACTAGTGAGGAGACAGCCTTAGGAAGATGCTTTACCACTGCATGACAAACCACTGCACTCTGGCAGTGATGAGGTAATGCGAATGTCACACAGACTGGGAGACATGGTGGATATTACCTCAACAAGGCCAGAAAGACAGGGAAGTGCCCCAACAGCCATACATTTACTACCATACCTGTGACTAGAAAGAAACACGCCATAAAAGCCAGGACTGGAGAAAGAACAGGATGACAGGAACCCCTAAGAAACAAATTACAAACCCTCTGATAAATCTGACAGATCTTGGGAAAAGGAATTTTGTTTGAGAGTCACAACCACAGGGCACAGTCAAAATTCTCACAAACAATAAGCCATATGATGTTTACAATAATATTTTAGTAAGAGAATAGCTATCATTTGGCTTTTTCATTTCATATCCAATTTCAGAGAAACCCTTATACTAACACGGAAAAGGAAAGTATATCCATAAAAAGAGAGATAAAAAGGCAAGACTTTATGAGTACACATATTTAACTTTGAAAGGAGAAGAGGAGGAGAAGGAAGAAGAATCCCCTGCCGTTAGAGGGGTTGCACAGCCAGCACAGCTATTAGCTGCACAACCCACCCGGGGGGGGCTCCAGGAGGCTGAAGCCCCTGGGCTGACTGCCAGGCACGTCTGCACCACTTATCAGTGCAAATGCCAGACAGACCATGGAACAGAGCTTCTCAGTTTTAACTGTTAATGTATCAAAGTTTTATTTGGAAAGAAGCCAGTGACTTGAAATCTTAAATTATAGCATGTTTTAAAAGCTTTTTCAAACATGGAGAAACAACACTTTGGAAGAGCTAGACAGAAACACAAGTAATTATGAAATAAGGTCACTAGTAACTGTCAGGAACATTTTAAGATGGCTCCCACTGCAAGAATTTCCCAGGCAAGCAAGCTCTCTGGAAGAGGCAGTTCATAAGAGTTCATCCAAGGATGACCCATTTTCTAATCACAGCAGCAACTGAACACAGAAGTGTAAAAGGAAAATAAATAAATAAAGGCTACAGTCCCCTGTGCAAGAGACTGAAAGCTGGGAAAGAGAAGCCATATTCGATAGAAACAGAAAGTCAATTTATGTAAACCAATGTCTGCCTGTGGCTGACAAGTTTGAGGGAACATAAAACAAAACAAACAAACAAAAAACCAAAAAACGAGTGCTCTAGAGAACCTGAAGGAAATCAGAGCAAGCAGATAGCAGGCAAGCACTAATCAGAATTAGTGCTCCTGTGCCTAACCCATTCAGTCTGCATGCTTGGTGCGAGCACTTAATTTCTGTACACTTAGGCCACTGATACAGCAAAGAGGCCTTAAACTCCAGTTTTACACTGACATTCAGTTTGTGTGTAATGATTTCTAAAGCACAACTAAGGTGCTCTGGATTTAACATTTACATAACTTATATTTGCTGTTTGTATAACATTAGCAACTACCAGTGGTTTCCAGTATGCTAATCATCCACCCAACCAGAGGAGTACATGAGGTAGACAAATAAGCTGGAAAAAACCCGAGGGTTGCCATAGTTTCAATTATTTTCCGAAACAAAGCACTCTCACTAAGCAGATTCCAATATATTAAAAACACAGAGCCCTAATCTCTTAAAAGCAGGTTGCACAGAGGCAAAATAAAGACTGCAGGATGAGGGAGGAGTTCCATATTTTATAATAGAGCAAATGCAAAATTATTAAACACCAAACACATCCTCTTAATATACACAAACATTACAACTTCTCTTCTCTACCACTCATTCTTTCCTCCTAAAAGAAAAAGCTGACTTTGTGCTAAGCCTGCACTAAATTTTATTTACGGCTAGATGCTGT